TGTATTTTAAGAGTTCTTTTATTTTTTTTATTGTTTATTTTTTTGACATTTATTTATTTTTGAGAGAAAAGAGTGAGACAAAGTGAGAGTGGGGGAAGGGCAGAGAGAGAGGGAGACACAGAATATGAAGCAGGCTCCAGGCTCTGAGCCATCAGCACAGAGCCTGATGCGGGGCTCGAACCCACAAACCGTGAGACCATGACCTGAGCCGAGGTCGGACGCTCACCCGACTGAGCCACCCAGGAGCCCCTAAACACCCTTGTTCTTAATCACAGCTAACATTTAATAAGCTCCTACTATATACCTGAAACTCTACAGCACCTATGAAGTACTGTCTTTATCCTACGGACTGGACCCTGGAGGCTCTCCGGTAGCCCGGGGCTGTTTGCGCGATAAGGAGCCGCGAGCAGGGCAGGGTTGCACGTGAACCTGGGAGGCCCCGTTTCCAAAGCGTGCCTCTACTTTCCAGTCAGCTTGCCTCTACTCACTCACTAGACTTGGGGCCAGGTTCTTTGTAAGCTGAGTTTAATTTTAAAGACTATTTTGAATATAATTTTGACTTTATCACCTCTTGGTGGTTCTTTCCTTCTCTTTTCTTTTTCTTTTTTTGGCTGTTCTTATTTTTAATAAAACAAAGAAGGAAATAAAACTCCATCACCTTTTGCTTCTGAATGACTTTATCCGCAAAACTTCATACACACTCCCCCCAACCCTCCTCATTATCGTTCCAGAAGCCTCCCTTTGACTGACTGCTACATGCGACAGCCGCCCTTTGGGGGCTCGACTACTCATTTTTGGGCATGTTAAATACACAGACGCCTACTTCTAACAACAGAGGTCAGTGGGGGGCTTGCACCCCTCCATTTTTCTGGTCACTCTTTACCGCTGGACAGAGTCAGAAATGAGGAGACCGAAAAAATACTTGTTTAAACTTCAGAAAAGTAGGGTAGGATTCTGGGTCATCTCCATAATGGAGTTTCCAGCCCTTCATCCCTGTGGTATTCGGGGGGGTCGTGTCTTTGGCAGCAAGGATTAAGTGAACCGCACGACCCCCACGGAGGGCTTAATTGGCAACAGAGAACCCACTGATGTGTGCAAAATTCATTATTGTGTTTAGGCTTGGAATGTTTGCACGGGCCAGCCCGTTTCTCTTTCTGATTTTCCCACAAGTGTTCAAAAAGATCTTGTGTCTCAGTGTCAGCTCCCCGGTGGGGCCAGG